GGGGGGGGGGGGGGGGGGGGGGGGGGGGGGGGGGGGTACCTCATGTGTTGCGTGCCTTTGCGGTTAGACCATTGAAACCGCGTCCTCGAGAGGATGGAGCATTGTTCCCACAGGACAGATCACCGACGGCCAATCTTTCCTTCCTACATTACCAACGAGCGGGGATACTCGTGTAAATGCATGCTGATGTCGTTAGACGGTTGACCTCGCATCCCTACAAGGCCGGAACGGAGCGATATGCCGGGTTCCTCCCGCCCAGCCCGGGCTGGGGGGGACTTCGGATTGGGGAGTACCCTGGAGGACGCGACGAAGAGGCCACCGAGTGTACAGTCCGTGTATGCTTTGAAATGAGATTGTCTCAGCGAGCGAATCAAAAGGGGGAGAGGTTGACCAGCTCCTGTGTCCTCCTCCTCGATTATGGACGTGGAACTCGAAAGCCGTACGATGTCACCCCCACTCCTACCACCACCGCCACAGCGCACACCTTAATCTCATCACCCGGTTTCCACCCGTTGCTTTTTGTTATGTTAATGTGGAACGGTGTTCGATGACCCTGACCAGGCGGTTGTCTGGAGTGCGGCGCGGGGATGACGTCATCGAGTGGGCGGCAGGGAGGATCCGCCAGCAACGGGATAAACACCAGCGGCGGCAGCGGTGAGAGAACGGCGGTGGTGTGTTGCGCGGCGGGACCCCGTTTTTTCTGCGGTGGTTTTCAAGTGGCTGCCCTTGCTCCGCCATTAAACCTCGTCGCCCGCGGTTGTTTTGTTGCCGGCCCTTGCCCGCGTCCTGTTGTTTTGGTTTGCTCGTGTTGCTCGACGTCGGTGGTTGCTGCGATTGGGTTTGGTTTCTCGTGTTTGTGGACGTCGGTGGTTGCTCCTGTGTTGTTTTGGTCTCTTCGTGTTGGTCGACGTCGGTGGTTATTGTGCTTGGGGGGTGTAGCTACGATACGATGCAGGTTGTCCCGCCGTGGGGGTCGTCGGCCAACCAGCAAGCGCCGACCTTGGTGTCGGGAAGTGAAAAGAGAACGTTGCTTCACACCCAGCGTCCGGAAAACAACCAAAAGGTGTTGTTGCGTCCTGGGAGGACATGTTCTTGTGCGATCGGTGATGTGGATGCCTTTTACGAAGACCAGTCACGTGAGACGGTCCACTCCGGTTGGATAAAGACCTGCCGTATCCGGGGAGCGTATTTTTTATGAACGGTTGATAAGTCTTTCCGTCTGAGGGTTAGGTTCATACACACACTTGCGACACCACCTGTTGAACTCGGGCGGCGCACCGGGCCCTTAGGTCTTCGTGCTCGGCCTGGCATCCAAAAGCAACCTCTCTCCTTCTCCCTCGTTTCAGGCAGTCACCCTCCCGCCGACCAATGCCTATCCCCCCGCGCTACCTGTACCTCTCTCTCCACCCGCAGAATGCTTGCAAAGCCCCGTCAAGGAAGAACCCAGGGTGGGCCAGGGCCAGGGGGAAACCGCCGCTGGTGCCGCCGCTGCCGCCACCAACGCATCCTCCGGGGGAGGGGTGGGAGGCGAGCCCTGCATGGCGCCGGCCACCCAGCCACCAGCCGGCTCCGCCATGAACAACGGCTTCGGCGACGGCGGCAGCCAGGGGGGTTGCACCGGCATCCAACTCCCTGCCGCCACCTGGGCGACGCCGCCGCTTCCTGCCGTGCCGGGGGCGGTGGGACCGTCGGTGGCGGCGGCGGCGGGGGGAGCGGCACCGATGGCGTCGTCGTCGTCGTCGTCGTCGTCGTCGTCGTCTTTGGTCGTCGCCCCTCCCTTCGCCGCCGCCGCCGCCGCCGCCGCCGGAGGTGATGCCGCTACTGGCGGGCCTCGGCAACAAAAGCAGGAGACCCACGGCATGTCTTCTTCCTCGTTGTCGTCGGCGTTGGCGGGCGAGCCACCTTCGGCATCCGCCCTAGGCTCGGACAACACCCCGCGCGCCGGCGCCGGCGGTAACGGCGGTGATGCCGTCGGCGGAGGTTCCGGTGGTGAAGGCGGCAGCGGCGGCGGGTGGGGAGATTCGAAGAAGCGGAGGTTGGAAGCACCGGTGAGGAGGAGCGGTGACTGAGGCATCCCCCGCGCTTGAGGATCATTTCTTTTTTGTCGCCGGAAGGTGGAAGGAGTTTTTTTTGTCGAGTGTTTCACGGCATGCCGTCGGTGTATTGGTTGNGGGGGGGGGGGGGGGGGGGGGGGGGGCTCTGATCTTAATAGCTGAGAAGGGGGTGGGTGGGTGGGGCAGACACTACATTCCTTGGTGTACGTAGCTATTTAGATGCCGAGCATCAGACTTTTATTGCATGGCATCATCCGAAATGGAGCTGTATCTTCTACAACCGAGCTGTACCTTGTTCGACCCCACTTGCGTTCTTGGTCGGTTCTATAGTGACCCTAAACTTGCCGGGAGTTGCCCGCTTTCCTCGGCTTGTACGATATTCATGTACTTGGCGTTTTTCTATGATCGTTCCCTTGACCGCTGGTTTAGGTTCCCGCAAGGTTTCATGCAGGCACACTGCTCAACCCTTGCGATCTTTCCTTTGACCCCCCCCCCCCCCCCCCC